TCTGGATTGGCGAGAAGCTCGTGTTCCAATTGTTTGCCGAAAGCCTTCTAGCTGCGGGCACAATTTTTCCTGGCAAACATGGCGTATACGTTATTCATTCGGTGTACTGAACTTACTGCTTACTATATGCATATGGTCGCATTTTTCTGTCCCAATGCTCGGAAAGCAAATATTCAAATGAAATTCAAAACATCTGAGTGTAAAAATTGTGAAACGTGCGAAAAAATTCCAGGATATGATCTAGAACTTAACACACACACACACACACGTAGAACGACGCAACAACCACTTCCGCTGACAGGAAATGAAAGTCTCCGTGCGTGTGAGCAAGTGTTCTATTGGTGCTTGTTTTTGTACGGGCATCGGTATTTGTGTGAGTGCCAATGTGACATTGTGTTGCCAAATGGTTTATGAAGTGGGCAACGGGGGCATGAATCCCTTTTTGTACCTCTGCCTTCTGTCGTCCTTTTAGCCTGATACGGCTTATGGGAATTTCTGTTTAGTCAAGCGCAAGGTATGAAAAAATTCCAAAAACAAAAAAACCAGAGTAAGCACGGTATGGTTTTTCCCCCTGCCACAGCAAACTATGTTAAAGCCATTTTCGGAATTGGATTGCTGGGGTTTCAGGGTGTACATGGCGGATACGTGATATATCTGTCGCACCCATGAAAACAGTTGAACCATGGGATTTCATAACATTTTCGCATTTTCGTATCCCTCTGTATGGAGAGATGTTTAATGACATTTGCGCGCCATGGCATAATTAGACATCGGCGATAATGACACCTCCCCTTCCAATGCATAAATCTCCGAGCTACTTTTCCTGGTCGCTGTGGCTGCCATAAACCAATTAGTCTGTTTGATGTTGCTTCGCATCCCAGAATGGCAACACTGCTCCCACGTTCAAGACATTCACGGCTGTCTTGATTTCCATTTAGGCCGAACTACTTTTGCTTGGCCAGTTAGGTGAAGTGCCGAAAAATACTGGATTAAGGAATGGTATCTGAAAATCTAAAAATAAACGTGGAAACATGAAAGAATATAGTTTTATAAATTAAGTATAACTTGTAGTAAACCAGATATAGTTCTCTTACACTTACTTTATCTTATAATTAATTTTTGTCAGTCTCAGTCTGCTTGTGAACCTAATTAATATCTTGTTGCTAGTGGCCATCTCATTGAATTCGAAAATAAATCACTTGTTAATAAAACGACACATCTACAGTCATGTAACTCAAATATACACAAATTTAAAAAAAAGTAATCAATTATATTAATTAAATGCTGACGCTTGCCAAAATGATTTATATTGATTTCTTTCTGTTGAACTTCCAAAACGAACGGAAGGTCAACTACCTTGCTTTAATTTGCCAATATTCCAAATGAGATGGAACATTTGAGCACAGCACTGTTCACAGCCCAGATATTCGCGTTCGGTATTCTGCCAGGAGATTTTATTGAATTAGCTGTTGCTCTTGGGCCAAATCTTTGATGCCAGACTGCTTCAAAGCAAAAATCATTATTGGCCCATGTTTAGCCTGAAAATTAGTGCCGGGCAACAAAGCTGCCATTCCCCGTCCGTCCGTCTGTCTATTTTATGTGGTAATTACTGAACAATGGTTGGCAGCCAGGGAGAGCACCACAAAAGGTCATTAGGTAATTACAGGCAATGGGAACTTGAATCGGACGGGAATCAGTTGAATTTTCCACTCATTTAATGCTGCCAAAGGGGCGCTAAAAGATTGCTTGCTTTCAGATGGACCTACGTCCATTTCAGCCATTTCAGCACACTAAAAGAGGGTTAGGGAAGGATTTACAAACTAGTTTTTTCTATTTTATGCATGTGAATGAACACCCAATATATATATTTAATGTTATTTGCTTAAACCAAGTTTATAAGGCTTTAATTGATTACCTAACTTACCAGCTGAATGCCCCGCCCCATATTGTTTGTCCCTTGTTTAACTCCGTGATTTCTCCAGCGTTTCAAGACAGAAACAAGATGCCTATAATGCTCAAAACGACCGTTTAAAGGGAGAAGACGTTTCGGACAGTTTGGCCAATTGGCGGGACCACAAGACCATCAATCAAATGCGTCCGGGTGACAAATTCACGGGTATGAATTCCCGGCGAATTATGCACACAGACCGCTGGGCCACGGAGGGAATTCCCCGAAGCCCAGTTTGTTTGCCTGTCCTTGTTGGCCGACACACACACACACAACACACATAAACACAGGCTACGCACACATGCAAATGCAAATGCTGCATAACCGGAAATGGGATGTCGGATACTTCATTCGTGCCCAGTGAGCATTCAGCCCATGCCAATCGACATCAGATACATCTCAATTGTCATGCTAATCTCGTCTGTCGGATGAAATGTGCTGAGAATTTAATTGATAAGTCCAATGATTTTCAAGCTAGAATGGGCGAGTTAATTAAGACATGATGGCTAGTTAGATGGCTCATATGCGGCCAACGTGCATGCAATAAAGAACGTATTAGGTTTTGTTTAAAATTCCGTTGACATGGTTACAAGTACTATAAGACAGAGACCTTGCTGCTTTAAAGCAGCTCATTGGACTAAGAAATTCCTGCCACCAAGAATGAAAACGGAGATAAAATGGCAAAACATTACGCTCGACATTATAATCGAGGTCATTAATTTGCCAACTTGGCTAATGGCTGTAAAGTGCCCTCATTCCACAAATTGTCGAACAAGTTGGCCCTGGCAACGAATGAAACGAGATACCAGTGTATACATTAAATGTATTTGCCCGACATACGTGAACCAAAGAAATGTATTTCGCTCCTAGGGAAACATCTCTCAAAAAAGTTATCATCTTGCTCGAAAAAAACCAGGCACCCTCCATTTTGGAATATTTCAGAGGCTATTCAAGGGCACTGGTAGCCTCCTCATCCACTAAAACGGGTGAGCTGCGCTCCGCGGCCTCGTAGGCGTGCATCTTGATCAGCATCATGGTGAAGATCTCCACGGGCAAGGTGTTCTGGAGCACCTGCAGCAGTTTTCCCGGCTTGCTGCAGACGAGTATCGCGTTGATTAGGTGCTCCACGCCGCCCTCAATATCGCCATTTGTGATCAGGCCTTCGCCCTTGTGGATCTGGGTCATGAAGTACATTTCCACGTCCCTTTCGTTCACGGGAACCGATGCCGGGGATTTTACGGATGCACTTGGTCGTTGGTTCCTGCGCTCGTGCAACTTCCTCTTGAAATCCGGATCACTGCGACGCTGTTTGTCGAAATATACGCAATAGCCCATGAACACCATTCCCGATAGGGCCGCCAACACCTTGAAAGTTCCCCAAACTCCAATCATTTTCGAATTTAATTCCTTACGGTTTTCTGTTCCTTCGTGTTGAAAACTCAAAAGCTGGACACTCGCTTGTGTATTGAAAAATGTGTATTTTCTTTCCGAGACGTTGAAAATGGCTTGATGGATTTATCAAAACTGAGATGATTGGAGTTAGGCTGGACAAACTGGGTATCCAACTTAAGCTACAGCTACTGGGTGGTAACTTTGGATGGAATTTTAATATGATATGCTCCTTTTTAGATTTCCTACTCCTATAACCATTGAACCTTTTGGTAATTGTACCTCTTTATTAGGGCAATAACAGTGTGCTCTCAAGCCCGCGTGTATATGGAAAGCGATGACCATTGAATTGGATATGATACTTATCAAATGAGCGCCCTAATTCGATGCCAGACCACTCAAACTTACCCTGACTATTTGCGGTGTGACCCCAGGATTTAGCCACAGTCTGTTGGCAAGGAAACGTAGTACCATATGAGCATGGATGGTAATAGAATCTTTTCAACTGATTTTCGGTTTGCCTTTTCAATCGTTAAAGCCTTTTTGCGGCTGCCATGACAATGGAAAAGGAGGCTGCCAAGTGGGGCAACTGCGCAACAAACATCATCTTATTATGCAAATTGTTATTCCGCGAATGGGACACACAGTTCCCGTAGCTCCGAAACCATGAAATCCTATTACCTCGAATAATAAACTCTGTCCATCGATTTCATTCGGAGTTCACCGTGCAACAAGCAATTTAACGCATTAGCGCGAATTTCTCCTTTCTTCTCCAACTGCCAAATAGGGGCAATAAAAATGTAGCGCTCTGTAAGCTGGTGTCTGGTTTTCGGGTTGATTTTTGATTTCGGCTTGTGTTTGGATTAGGGTTTCGTCCTCATACTGAATGTCCTGAGATGAAACTGTTTGTGATTCAATTAGACAGTTGAATGTTTCCCAAGTGGTTTTTGATGGAGTTAGGTTCTGTTGCTGGTTGGAGTTTCAATTACACTCTGTATTCGCTTACCATTATGTAAGTATGTGTTCCTCTTGAAACTCGTCTTCTGTTTGCTTTTGAGCGCATAAAGGCGAAATCTTTTAAAATTGAACTATTCAAAAGAAGGTGAATGGGATGACGTGGGCAGCAGTCTGAAGATTATATGATTTGAGCGTATTTGAAAGGATTTGCCCTTCACCCATCGCCACCCAGTCTTTTGGCCATATTTGAGTAATAACTACACCCACATTAGTATGAATTCGTGCATGGCCAACTGGCTTGAATAGGATTGGACTCTGAGCTTTGCATAAATAATGCGACTGCCAACATAATGAAATGCAAATTCCCCTTTGGGATTGGTCTAATGATATTAGCAGCCCACTTTTGCAGTAAAATTTGTATTTATTCAAGCAAATTAATCCCATCTTAGTGCTCATTTCCAATTTCCAGCTAAAATATTTACCTAACCCTTGAGCTAAATGGCCAAGACCAGGAGATATCTTTATACGGGCTGTTAACAATTGCGGATAGCAATGCTTACTGTCCACATATCAATTGTATATAATTGACAAACAATAACTAAATATTTTATCTGATAGAGGAGCTGACTTGACTTGCGACTTAAGTGCGCTCTTCAATTAATTGCGAGCGATTAAAACAACTTAAAGTGAGAAATTCCATGACTTTGATTCCATGTAATTATTTTACTCAAATAGCACAACATATACGCAGATGCATTTATCAGTTATACACAGAATGTATTTACAAACTTGGCTTAGCCTAGATGTTTACAACAGTTAAAACTTACAGTTCTTCGATGGTTAAAGTGTCGATAGATTCTTCTATACAAATACATACAAATTCAATTTATTGGTAAGTTTTTCCTTCTTGCTGAAGTATTTTCTTTTGACAACCGGAAATTCGACTTTAACTTTCGCATTAGGGTGGCTCGTTTTGCAGGTATACCATAGAACTTAAAGGGAAAGAAATATTCATACAGCGCATAGATAAAGTTCGAAAGGGGAAAACATTTCTTTGGGAACGAAACTACATTACTAAGCTAAGCGCACAATATTAAGTTCTTTAAATAGGTGAAAGGTCGTCCCTTGAAATCGACCCACCCTGCTATGCAAACATGTTCCATCTCTTTGTGAATGTGAGTATATGTACAGAGTAGAGCAAGCAGTGGCAAATTGCATTTCCCCGCGGCGAAAGGAGACGGAGGCCAGGAGGATTCACAATTCGTTGCAGTGGCAGGACAAAGCGGGATAACATCACAGCTGCTTGGGACTGAGCTCCACGGGATTATTGTCCTCGTCACAGGAGATGTATTTGATTTTCACGCGCTGCCGCTCGCCAATACTGTTGTTGATCGAAAGGCACAGCGGCGAACTGGACCCATCCGCCGGCCGTTCCATGATGCACTCGACCGCCGCCCGATTGGTTGCTGCTCCGGAAGGGTGATGCTGCTGCTGCTGTGCACTCCGCTGATCCCGGCCAGAGCTGGTGACCGGCGCCTGCTGGATCTGGGTCTCCATCGTGCTGCGCTTCCACTGACTCTTGGTCTCCGCTGCGGAAGGTTGCGTGGTATGTGGTAAGTGGTGGCAAGGCTAGAGCAACTGGGTCTGAGGCGGAGGTTGAGGCTGAGTATGGGCCAGAACGGCCAATGTAGTTTGGGTGGTCGGGGGGGAGGAGTTGGGGAGCGAGTGGGCGACGGTGTACCCACCTCTTGTGTGCCGGTGGGAGCTGTTCTTGTTCGTCAGCCGGCTCTTCGGCGAGTCGAATCGATGGCGGGTGAGGCCCACGCAACAGCAGCAGATGATCCGCTGGAAGTACATCCGAAACCTGAAATCAAGAATATAAATTTAGGAAATTTTTAATAATTTGCACTTATTCTTCTAGCAAATGCGACTGCATTTTAACTGCAGATTTCTATACTTTAATTAGCAGTTCTCGTACTGATTGCTATCGTTTTGCAGGGACGCAACTAAATCATATATTTTATTTGCATAGTCACCTCTCCCTCCCTAATTTCATTTGCTTATTCATCTCCAATTACCTCTTATTCATCCAGTAGTATATGAGCGGATTGACCATGGCATTGGACATGGCCAGCCAATAGAAACCGAGATACATGTGCTGCACGTACTTCGTGGATGCCACCTGGTTGTTGTGGTAGGCGTAGATGAAGAACAAGTGATACGGCAGCCAGCAAATGGCGAAGATGGACACGATGGCGATGAACATGCGGACCACCTTCCGCTTCGACTTCATCGACTCCATCTGGCGATCCGTGTTCTCGCCGATGGATCTACTGCCCCAGAGAACACGACCCATGAGGGAGTAGCAGATGAGCATCACAATCATGGGAATGCCGTAGGTCAGCACCAGGATGATCAGGTTGTATCTGTAATTTAGTATTGTTAGATTTGGACCAACTTATCCTCTTAGTACGCTAGTTAAAGGTACGGTCTATAACTTCAGAGATCATCAACGATTAATTTATTATACTAAAATTTGAAAATTCATTCAGCATAATTTCATACTTACGCATAATCCGCCATAGAAGTGGGATATCGTCCATCTGGCCACATCATGAAGCAAACTGTCCTCGATTTTCCATTGTAATAGCTGCAAATGGTCCATTTAAGTAGGTTAACATGGCCGCCATAAAGTATTCATTTAAATAATCAAATTTCAGAATCTGATAAATCAAAATTTCAAAATTTAATTACACCCCACATTTCCCTCGAACTTAAAAGCTGTCAGGTTTCACACTTCGCCAGTTTTAAGCACCGACGAAATGGCGAAAGGAAGCTGCCTGTTACAAGCATGACAAATTTCACGTTTGGCCCGTCATCAAATTGAAAACTTAATTTGCCAAATTATGAGGTCTTTCACGGCGCAGTATTGTCGAGCACTTAAAAGGGATGTGGACTCAAGTCCTCACAAAAATCCTCTGTACCTGTCTGTTTACCTGTACTTTTCCAACCATTAATAACACGGCCATGGCAACTGGTTGTGACAGACAGGTCATAATTTGACCAACAATTATCATGAAAAGTGCCCGGGAGGGTTGGTACCCTTCAGCGCCAAAATGATTGATTCAAATGGAAAATTGCTGTTTATAATTTCGAGAACTGAACTCAACTTCATAACTTCATAATGAATGGATTTAGTAAAGCTATTAAAATTGCTGTCAGGATCTAGCCAATTGTATTTTTAATTAATATTCTTTCCTCTTCCAATTAATACGTAGGCTCTCGGGAATTCCAACTTGCCTATACATTTATTATCTAAATGAATCCTTTTACTTTCGGAAATTTATTTCGAGGCTAATACGAGCTTGACTGGTATGCCTTACAACTTACAACGTTGACGGTCTATATCCCCGGGGGGTTTTCTGCGAAAACGTTCATCCAATTTGGCGTTTTTTTTCACTCCTTATCAAATCGTCACACATATAATATATATATTCTTACAGCCATATACGTGTATATCCCCCATTTCACTCCCCTTTATATGCTCTTGTCAGAATTTGCCATCGTTCGACTCCCTTGAACCTCGCCTTGGCTATTCTCTATCGCATTTTGATATATGAACTTGCCATCTTTATTATGCCTGAAGTCTGTTACCCTGGGAGACCTTTTATGCCGCCTGTTGAGAGCTTAAAATAAAAAATTCTTCAATTCTATTAACCAGGACACCCTGCCGCTTCAGTTCGGCAGCAATTCACCGCCCGAATGTTGCGAATTTGCGTAAAATTCAAATGAAGCTGTCGGAGCTGAGGCGACAAGGTGATTTAGATGGATGCGAATGTTATATCAACACCAAAAAAGGCCGACCAGAAATAGGGAAACGTGGAAAAAATATGGAAGTAATTCTGTATAGGTGCGCGGAATTTCACTTTATATTTGTTTGGCCTCTCAAATCGATACCTGAAGCTGCGGGAAATGCTTCACTACCACTCCACAGGGTGGCTGGCCAACTCGTAAGCCATGGCTTACAAGCTTGTTTATGCATTGCGTTTCGTGTTTCACGCGGAGATCAAACAGAAACAAAGGGAAGCCCAAGTTTTGGCAACGAATTTTAAGTACTCTAGAATCAAACATCATTCTCACTATATTGTGTGTATTAATTGATTCAATAAACTATACATAAATTTGTATTTAATTATATTTAAGTATTAAAAGTTAATGAGAATCCCCATAAAAGTTTATGAGCATCTGTAGCTTGCTCTTTTCTGCTCACTGCTGAAATCTGATGACTTCTAAGAAGAATCCAGCGTGGCAAGACTACTAATACCCTATCTTGAGAGAAGCCCTCGATTCGAAGATAACCGCCCACTTACTGCTTGGTCATGATGCTGGAGTAGAGCAGACAGGGCGCCGACAACACACAGCTGAGTGCCCAGATCAGGACCAGGATGATGCGCACCTTCCGACGCGACGTGCGGCGCTTCAGCGGATGCACAATGGCGATGTATCTGCAGGATGGCAGGAAGCGGATGTGCCGACGCACCGATTAGAAGTCGCTGGATGGGAATGGAGGGCAGGAGGTGGGGAAAGCGATACTCACCTATCGAAACTTATGGCCACGAGCGTGAAGACCGACGTGGAGACCGTGACGTTGGCCACGAAATTGTTGATTGTGCAATAAATCGAACCGAATGGCCAATCCGAGTTCAGCATGAATATAAAGTTGAAGACGCAGTTCAGCGACGACATCAGCAGGTCGGCGATGCTCAGGTTCAGCAGGAAGTAATTTGTGACCGTCCTCATGCTGCGATGTCCTGCAGAGACATTTGGCGAAAGAGAAGCGGGGGATTAGAGGGAAAACCTCGGGGAAACGAGAAAATGGGAAATGGCAAAGCAGACACGTGATGGCCAAGAAAAAAATGCTGGAAATTAGAGAGAGGGCTATCGCCAATGCGGCGTATACGTGCCTGTGGAAAGTGCTTTAAATCAGCCTTTTTTTTCTTTTTTGCAAGCTTACCTGTAACGATCCAGAGAACAATACCATTGCCGGCAATGGCCACAAACATCATCAGTCCGAAAATGATGGCCCAAATCGTTTTCTGCTCCCATGGCAACTCGTACGGTCTTGTCGGCGATGGAAACAGACACTCGGTCAGAAAGTCTCTGTGGGAAATCGAAAATATCATCCAATTTGTATTGCAAAATTTCGTTTAATGCGAAGCCAGAAGCAGCTAGTGTTATTTTGTTTAGGGGAAAGAAATGTTGATGGTGTAAAAATATTTCCTAAAGAATGAAGTACCTTTTTGATTTCAGATATTTTATTAAGGGTAAAGTACACTTAGGGATAAATTAGTAAATGATAGTGAAAATATCTGTATGACTAGCATTTTTATCTTGGTACTTATCTTGGTACAGGGACTTTCTACAATACTGGACCCTGCTGAAAGTCTTAATTCAATGGAAATAAGTCTCAAAGATTGGTAACTTATTTCTTAACTTAATGGCATATTTTGCAGAGGAAATGCCTTTGAAGAATACCCATCTTAAATTTAACTTTTTTGCCACCCTTCAGGGCAAGCAATATTTGGAAATTCAATCACAGTCTGCCTGAAACTTTGTGATTTGGCAGAACCTCTCCAGAACTGCGTGCTCGTCATCGCCTTAACAATAACAATAAGAAATCAATGAAGCAAAAGCTTGGCGAAAAATTCCTAAAGGAAACTTGCCACAAAAGAAGCATCCTTATCGATATGGAAACAGCAGCAGAACTGTGTAGCGGAAAATGTGCTGTAATTCCATTGGACAGACTACCGTTGGCCAGAGGACACGAGAGGACACCATGGAACTGGAACTGGAACTGGGCATCCGATTATCATATCAGGCATTATGCTAATCATGGCAGCAGAACTGGTGATGCGAAGAACATGTCGCTAATTGTTTCGAGGAGTGTCTTTGTCATTGGCTCGCTGGTTTTGGAGCTTCCTTTTGATTAGCCTGTAGTTGAATGAATGGCAAATCCTATTAATTAGAGGAACCTTGTTCAATTATTGTCCGGCCCATCCATATCCGCAGACCATGTTCACCCGACTTCCGTAGCCACGCGGTGGCTTTTGTCTGCGCGCTACAGGGCGTATGAACAATATCAATGACCCTGCCTTGCCCCCTTTTCCATTTCTATTTTTACCGTCCTGCTCAAAATGCAGCAGAAACAATTCCAGCGAAAATTCAATAAGCGAATTGTTCACATTCTTCCATTTTCATTTCTTTTGCCACTTGTCTCTCAGGCATCAAATTTGCCCACTTTGTCTAACCATGATTGATGCCCTGTTTGATTGATATTGTTTGACCCACAAAATAATTCTGACTAACCCACATTACATTTAAATAATTTGGGTTCCGGGGTCCCGCGGCACTGATGGAATTAAATTGCTAAACATTTAGCTCTTAAGCTTTCAAATTTACAAAAATTTGTTGCATTTTTTTCTCGTTTTTTACATTTCAGTTGCGTATGTTGTCAAACTCTCTTCTCAGTTGGTTAGTTGCAGTTTACCATGTTGCCACATTTGTTCATATATCCAATCAATAGAATTGACATTCTGGTCAGTAAGCTGTTGAATTGTGAAGTGGCGAAACCAAATTGATGATAAAAAGTTGTGTATGCAGATATATAGCCGAGTTCCCCGACTATCAGATATATGAACATTTTTGAATTAAAATTGAATTAACATTGATTTAAAAAGAAATGTTAAAAAATACATTTTTAAATTTGAATGCAGATTTATAGAATTGCGCCAGAGACATTTAGAGGTATGCCTCTTCAAAATCGGATCAAGATAAGTTGAGTTATGGAGTTTGGAACTTCAGCCTTAAGACATTTCTTAATTTTTGTGAATTTCTACAACATCATCCCATCAAAAAAATTACAAATTACAAATTGTAATCTATACTTTAAGTCTGAATTTTCTTGTTTAACATATTACAAATGAATTAGTTATTTATTTCCGTACTCAACCTTTATTAAGTAAGCTAAATTTAATTTCATTCAGACTGTATGCAACGCATATGCTGAGAGCTCTTCAGAAAATTATCGTTTCATATAACAAGTTTGGTTGGCCATAAATCTACTTACAGATGGCCAACTTGGTTTTTGTTTTTGCAGTCTGGCCTGTGAAACACGTATCGCATTACATTCGAAGTATTTATTTGCGATTCGACCATCGATTTCACATTTAATTAGATATTTTGCGATCCGCACAAGCAAACAAGAACTCAATTAATTACATACACGCAAAGCCGTCCATGTAACAATGAACCATAATCAACATTAAATGGACACTATGTAATTCCCGAAAATATAAAACTGCGTTGTTGATATTTTGGCTAAATTTGTTTACATAAAGTGAGTGCTATTGAGCTGCCATTACCAAATTTTGCATGTAATTAATATATAGAAATGCAAATGGACAATAATTAGCATTTTCAATTCATTAAAATGAAATTATGCACGCATATTATTCGCCTCAGTGCACCTGAAAATCGGACAGAATTTGCGAATATTTTTAATTTACATATGCATTATGTTTAAGTTCCTTTAAATATGACAAACAAAAGCGCCCACCTTCAATTTAAACAATTTTCGTTGCCTACTTCTTTGAGCTTCCCTACTTTCGGTTGTGTTTTCCAATTATGATAATTGCTGTTGTCTGAGGAACTTTTCACTTTTTACAAATACGGGTAAAAAGTTGCCAGCAGATTTATGGTCTCCTGCCATTGCAGCTGACTTTTGGAGCACCAGGATAACGAAGGACACAGGAGGCAGTTCGAGCCTCGCCTCGGATGGTGTACATTTTCAGCCTAATTTAAGCAAATTTAACTTGATAAATGTAATTTGTATTTTTCCCTTTGGCCCTGCTTCCTGTATGGCCGCCTAATTAGGCTTAATGCTATTGTAAATCCGTGCTAAACGTCAGTTTGTTCCTGTTATTAAAATAATCATTATTCATGGACGGAAGTGTTTGGCCGTCAGAAGTGAAATAATTACATCCGTTGGTAAGTTTTTTACTTTGTACTTCCGTGCACACTTATAATTTTTGTGCCGCTTGCTAGAAATTCGCCTAATGACAGCACAACTTTCCCCTGGCGATTCTGGCAGTATAACTGCGGAAAGTTGGCATCGCTCGTCTTTGGTCATATATTTGGCCCTGAGTATGCAAATTTTCGTTGGAACCGATTCCGCAAATTCCTTAAAAATTGAGCAGCACATTTGGCAGGCAAGCGAATTTAAATTTTTTTTTATTATTTGATTGCTTCCGCGAAAGTCCCAAAAGTGTCAGCTGCTTTGATTCGTTAAAGTGAAAGAATTTCGAGTGGCTTTTCCGCGAATATCACAGAATCAATACGTGTGCAAATGTATTTTTTTTTTTTTGTGCTATTTTCGATCTGATTGAATTTGCAGTTGTTTACTCTGACCCAATGTGAGTGCACTCATCCATTTTTACCATCACACAGACTTCCGCTCAACTGATTTGGCCTTATGTTTAAATGATGACCTTTACTGGGTGATAAATTGTGGTTATTAATTTAAATCAATGCGCTATTATTGTAAACAACAGAATAGAGATTTCAGTAGTTTTTTGCACCAAAACTATTATTACTATTATTAATATATAGTCTCTTAATAAGTTATATTTAATTATCTATCCTGTCAAATTGCAGCACTATGAATTGCTTGCTTCCGAGTTAATTAGACAAATTAAGGAAATTATCATCGATTATAGTTTACCCTTGCGTAATTTCCTGTTCATAGGGGGCAGCAATAAATTGCCCGTCATTATGTGGCAGTTAGACGAGTTTATCGTCGCACTCATAAAGGTGAGTTACCCACATTAACTCGGCTAGCAGTCGTCGACCCCCTGTTAGTAACCTGTAACCTCCGTTCGACGTCCTGGCAATTTGCGCACTATGTACCAGTAGTTCCTTGGAGCCGCTTCAGCTAACATGTTTCGCATTCGCATTTCGCTCTTTATTATATTCCACTGAATATTTTATGCATGACGAACCGGGCAATGCAACCCAAATTGGCGGTCTTGCGGCTACTTTATTTCCCTAGCTATATATCTGTGCCTGGTTCTCTGGTTGCCTTGCTCCGGTTCCCTGGCTCCCTGGCTCCCTGGTTGTCTGCCTCTCTGCTTCCTTTGGGTGTCCTTTTCGGTTGCTGCACAGTTGAGATGGCGCAAACCAGGGTAGATCAGGGTCCCAAGTACTCGGCAAGGACCTCATTGGGCATGCCGCACGCAGGTTGCAAGTTGGCCCAGCGTGTGTTTATACTGCTGGGCGATAACTTCGGCTGCCAACGGCAGTTGCCAAAGTAGGAAAAGTCGGTAAAGTTACGGAACTGCAAGTGTCACGTAGTTTAAAGGCTTTTTGCATACAGTTGGTGAAATACTAATAAGCCGGCGCGGCGAAGCGACTTTCAGGGGGCTTATAAGTGCTCGGTAATTGGTTTTCTTCTAAGTAAATACTTTGAAATTCATATTTTAAAATGCACTGCAAGAATGCTTGCATTTGGCATCCCTAAGGCAAAGTGTTTTAATGAGAGTCAAGAACACTTTGGTTTCAAACAGAATGCAACGCTTAAATAGCAGTCTGAAGCGAACATGTTTTCCTCAGTGTCATCCTTGCTCATGTGTGGGGTGTCGGAGACAGTAGATAAGTTGGGTCTAATGCTCATCAATGCCTGACAAATGGAGGCTGTCACAGGCACCTTTCCAGTCCGCAGCCCGAAATCATCAGCGTTGAACGGACAAAAACAATGAGTGCCTAAAGTGGAGCTGCAGTCACTTGAATTTTCCACACGCTTCGCAAATGAGGCCGTTTTCAATTTCAGAATTTATGAACGCGGGTGCTTCACATGTGCCTCAATTTCCCACCAGCCCTTCGACCGAGACCCCCAGTTCCTGCCACCACATTCTGTGTCCTGCAGAAATGCACTTGACAGAGGAATCGAGAGTGTTGATGAGGATGGTGGCATGGCAGTGCGTAAATGAAACTGTTCATGTTGTTTGCCATGGAGTGGCCATTAAATTTTCATGCCTCTGTCCGAATATCTGTTTCATTGGCCTTGCGTGCTGTATTAATGTAGCCCTCTGCTCGTCCACTGATTGAAAATACCCATCCGCACTGGGGACTTGTTTTATGTTTGGCGAGAAAAAGGTAATTGAAAAATTTGTCATATGCAAATTACTCAACTTGTGCAGATTGCGCTCTTCTCGTCCAGTTCCCTCGAAATGGCCAACAATATTTTTTCGAAATCCATTCCTAGGCCCCGTAGCCATTTCTACTGAGCTGGGGCTTAGCCATCGATGAGTAGACATAAACAAACTGTTCCCGACTGCGAGGCAAGGAATCTTCCTTCCGGACTTCTTATTCCCCCGTTCCGGACCTAATCCCAACCATTTCTTTCGAATTTCCTCCGGAATGTCACAGTTCGTGGCGTCTCGAAGGGGTTCCTCAGCTAAACAAGCTGGCTACATGAGCCACTTCTGTTTTGGCCAGATAAATGGCACAGTTTACGGGGATTTCGTAACTAGCTGGGTTTTTATCCCCGCAGAATACTAAGTAACGAGGAGAAATTACAAAAACCGTATAAATATCAGCATATGTTCTCTAATCAAGCCGAATTTACATTATTCTTTTTACTGTGTCTAATTTCTTACTCTTATTACTGTAAAATCGATAAAATTACAGAAAATTCACGACATTCCCCCATGGACTGCCGCTATCTGATCTCTTTTTTTAAGCACCATCTACTCTAATTTTGTGTAAAGCATTCGAAATTCGATGCTCGCCAATATCAATGAACACTTCTTGTTTTTATGTGGGCCATCCATTCTGATTGGATTTGAGTTTGCCCATAAAAATGCCAATGTCCCGATGGACAGCAACAGCAGCTACAACCGTCAGGATATGGACTAATGTCGTGGGTCCTTTGTTGTGCTGTGCTGTTATCGTTGGGCAAGTATCAAAATCAATAAGCGTACGAAAAGCCATAAACATCAAATTCGAAAGGATGCGATCTCTTTAAATCGACTCGAGCAAGCCATCCCATCGGTTTGTAATATACTACGACATTGCGTATACGCCGCGTGGGACGCTGACGCGCACTGAAGTGTGTGGACAATGTGAGCAAATCCCATACGCGTGGCGAAGCTGTCAAATTCCTTCCATCAATAATCCATGGGAAAAGTCCGAAACATTTGTTCTGATTGAAGCAAACATAATGAGCTTAACCCGAGACAAGCGGCAGGCAATTCACCTGCTCAAATGCCCACACATAAACAAAGGACATACACTGTAAACAATTTCGTCGTAGCACAGTTTATACACAATTAGTGGAGAACTTGTTCTTGGCAGCAGTAGTTGCTATGCTGGATTGATATTCGTCGCTTACATATTTTACTTTGGATTTGCACGTCTTGCAAACGTCTACAATAAATAGGATCAGGCCACACACCTTTTTCTAGCTGTGCACAATTCCACTTTTACTTACTTTCTCTTTCACAAAGAGCATTAAACCTCGAGGCTTATGTGCCAAATTTAGACCATCGAACAACATTTGGAAGGTCGTTTTGTTTGTGTCAAAGTTTTTCGAGGATTTAGTTTGGGTGGCCAGCAGAGAGCTTTGCATTTGTTGGAATTTAATTATTTTTTCGCTATTTTTCCCTTTTCGAGTAGTTTGTCACCTAAAACAGCATGTTGGTGTGGAAAGCAATTAGTAAACGTGTGTGTGTGAATGAGCCCTTTCAGCTTATTGTGACACTTGGTTATTCTAAACTAAAAGGAAGCAATTACAATGGAATTTGCAGGGGAGAAAATTAACTTAAATAGCAAATTATAGGTGGGAAGCCCAGGCCGCTTTATGCTTAAATTTTAAATATTTCTGCCAAACTGTATTACCAATTAAATCTAAAAGCTTAAGGCAGTCACTGAATGATTTTGTTCTCTAGAAAATAACCGGTAATAAAAAGCATTTCTCTATAACCCACACCTTTGTATATCGAACATAGTAGTTGTCAGACATTTCGTAGAAATCGTTTTAATTGAAGCACAAAGCGCCATGGTTTGTGGTGCAATTTGAGAGCAGAAATTGTACGTCAAACGTTTATTTATATTTTCCTGGAATTTAAATACCGGCTTTTAATTTAGCTTTAGAATTTTAAAATACGTTTTATTTCACACATGTCATAACTTTTTAAACGATACATAAACTTTTCCCACAAACTTTCAGATACAAACTAGTGTTTAAGGACTGTTGTGTGACAACAAAGCAAAGTGAAAGCATAAACAACTTCATCTCCCCTTGAATTTTGCGTCTACAAACAATTAAAGGACATCCTTAAAACAAAAGCCCCTGTAATGAGGCTGAAAAACAGTTTAAGCGTTTAATTAACCAGTTCCAAAAGAGGCCAAAATCCACCGCTGGTTAAAAGCGTTAAAGGCGAAGTCTAGTAAATATTTATCCCCTGGCTGAAACTTTTAAAGATTGCCCTTCCCTTTTTTATTTTCATTATGGACCAAGCTTTTGAGTTATTACGCAATAGTCGCAATTGCGGCAAGTCATTAATTTTACTTTGTGGTTAGCTTTCGGTACGAATGAAAATGCGGGTATTTATAGTACACGCGGCTTAAGTTCTTGGTCAACTTAAAATAATTGTCCTGATTAAAACATACCAACAACGCATTATATTTGGCCAACTCCTTCACAAGCTAATCAGCAATTCAATTACCACAGACCCCGATATCAAGTTTATTTAAACTGCTTTTATGCGGAACTCATTAGACCAAAGTGGGATTTTGGCCAACTTAGCTAATGATGGAAAATCTATTAACATAATTTTAATGACATTGCGGTTACTGGTCGTGAAATAATAGGTACAAAAAATTAAGCTGTCATAACCTATTAACCAATTTCGCTTTAAAAATAAGAACCTTCAAAACAAATATTATAAACCTATTATTATATGAAGCATTCTTTTGTGCCGGCTTTTAAATAAAGGATACGTAATTTGCAGGATAAAATTTAATTACACAATGAAAGATATTTGAAATTGCATTACAGTACAAACATGCAGCGCATGTTATTTATAATTAAAAGTCCCCTAAAGGATATTAAGAGTGAATAGCACGATTTATTTTCGGTATTCAAGAAATCCGAGTGCTGAAAGCATTCATGATATAAGCGTGACTATAGATATATTTTCAAAAGCAATCAGATTAGGCCTAAACAAATGTACACAAATTTCTCTCTGCCACCAAAGTTAGGGCTTCCAAGATTTTAGACTAAGACTGTTTACTCTTCCAAAACCACACTCAAAAAAATTGCGTTGAATAATAAAAGTTAGCAGGGAAACATAATATTAAATCTATAAAACGCTATGTATAATAATTTTTATTTGGATACTTTTCAGTCCGAGTGCACCGATTTAACCGGACGAACGCCAAACACGTTTATCAGCTGCCAGACCCGCGAAACTTTATTCAATTTAAGCCCTCGCCGCGAGTAATCAGTTGGCCTTCATCAGGGAAACCCGACTGCTTCCGCGATTCGCTCTTAACTCTACCGTTTAATTTGCATAACTTTGGGTGCGCGCTGCTAGAAGATCTCGGCGAAAATAAATAAAGGACGAGCGCGGGCGAGGAGTCAAAGTACCTGGACGGCTAAATAAAAGGACGCAGTATTTGCTGCCCACTCACTTGGCCTCGTTGATGCTCTCGAGATTATCCCGATTGTCGATAATGCTCGACAAGAGGTTGACCACCTCGGTTCTGTTGAGGCTGCCCAGGAGCGTGGTGTTCACAATGCTATTCAGCTCGAATCGTCGGACGGCGAGGATGGTGCAGTTGACCAGCAGCTCGGTGTCCACAATCTCCGACATTTTGCAGTCTGAGTGCAGGATGGTTTCCGTAATGATCCCGCTGCACTATGCCACATTTAATAACGCGGCGCCATAGAAGCCAGCTGACTCTTAATTTCTGCGTCAATGCTGTGCTTTCAGTTGATCCTCTTTTGTGGCGGGATTCCCAAGGAGGTTTCCTTTTTATGTTCTTTCAACTGTCAGCCACATGCAACACACTTTTAATTTTGGCCGGTGGTCAAGGACGAGATGCGTTTAACACTGCATGTGGCCATTTGGTCACAAAACTGTCAACCTTGCAACCTTGAAAACGAGTTTAAGTGCTTAAGTATATTTTCTGATGTTTAAACGCACATGGATTATAGGTAAATATGATTTAATCTATCATTTAAATTACAATCGTTTAATAATTCAACATGTTATTGCAAGCAATTAGGAATAATACACAAATTGATTTGATTTCATGAAAGGGTTTGAATTTAATCATATTGTTTCACTTCATTAATCCTGTATTTTTGTTCAATTATTATTCACACGTATCCACACGATTACGAGCTAATAAAACCTTAAACCGTATTTCACTCTCGAATGAAGCTCTTTTTTTAGAAACCGTTTCTATTTATACTCCATGAGAACAAAAACGTAAGTGCTTAATTACATGTTACTAAAATTGTCGCACAATTTGATGTTATAAATAGCATTAAAATTGAATTTATAAAATCACAATACTGCACATATTTGCATCCCACTTGTGTTTACATTACAAACTTTTTGCACACTTTGTAGCCCCTTTTTTTCGCCACTATTTTCCATTGCGCTTTTCACAGGCTTAAAGCAAGCACAACACCCATACAGTGGCAATACGCCCACAAGCACACACTACGAAAACACCGTTAGTTGGCAACACTGTTATTTTGTTGAAATGGCGCCCGAGTTTCCGCTTTCTGTGCTGCGCGTGTCCTTAGCGCTGCAAGTGCCGCCGCCGACTGAACGCTTTGCATGAAAATGTATGAAAATACCAATTCTGCGGGTTCTTCTGACGACGTCGACGTCGGCGTCGCTGCCTCTGCCTCCTCCACAGGCCAGTCGGCACGCACACTAACGCAACAGAAAGGCTGGCAACATACCTGTTGAGAGAACCTAGCAACATTACTCTGCTGGCAACATATTGCCGGATATGTTTTTATAGCAAGTCTTAAATTCTGTCAGAATGAAAAGTCAGTAATAATAGGTTTAATGAATATTCTTAAAAAAAAGCGTTTAGAAGTCATTTCGATTTTGAAAATAGTTTATTCATTTAATTAATAATTAATTGTTAGAAAACATGATGTTACCTTGAGCTTCTGTCTACTTAGTTGCCATTTTCATAGTATAAACTTCAAAATCAACTAAAAAACCCTTGTTCAGCTCACCTGATACACCACCTACTACTACATAAGCTTAGTGGGCAGGTGTAAATTTCGTTTCACTTCGTGGTGCTGTGATGAATGACCTGCAAATGATGGCAAAGGACGCGGTTCACACTTACACAATCACATGCTGTGGAACACCTACACACTTGCCCGAACAAAGGACCATTCAAGGACCGTTCAAATGACCCATTGTGATTGTGTGCTTGTGATTGTGTTTGTCTTATTTTGTGTTTGCTAATGTCTGCCAATGTTTGTGTCTGCCGCTTGCTCTGCCCCGCAAGTCTCCTTTTTCGGCCCTATGTGATTATGACTGCCCATTCAGGCGGATCCCCTCAGCCTCCATCTGTTCGTCCTTACAGATTCCCCCACAATCTTAGCACTATGTACCTCATTTCTGCCCGGGGCACGCACACACTTACAAGCGTATGCATTTCCTTGTTTAGCTTTTTTTACGATCTTGTTTCGTTTAGTTTATGGCTTACATTTGGCCCCGCCCCCCAAAAGAACACAGCCAACCATTAGGCCGCCCTAAGCATATTTCAGCTCTGTTTATATTCACGGCGATTTATACATGTTTATTATGATAAATTTATGCGCATTTGTTGTTTTGGCCGTTTTTATAGAGCGCACGAGTAGCCAGAGGTATTTTTTTTACATTTTCAAAATAGAGAGCTTCATAAAATACTGAGCAATGTGCAGAAGTTTTGGGGAATACATTTATGCATCAAGCTTTTAGTCAAATTTTTCCACCAGCAGATAGAGTGAGAAAAATTGTGCTTAAGTTAAGGCGAATTTTGGGTACCCGCTACACAATTCACGAAACTAAAACAAATGCTTTGGGCAGCCAGTTGCAAAATGTTATTAAACGCATAGTTTCGCAGCATACTTATGTGGGCATATAAGTAGTTTCATTTTACTGCTATTCGTCGGTTCTGTGGATATTAAAAACGTACTACAAATTTAAAATTATACACCCACAAACTGACGCTGACTTGACTATGAATTTAGAATATCCTTCACGGCACAAGTGCTGAGTAGGCAAAACGCAGATGACTCCAGGCAGGAAACTGCTTTAATAGTCTTGCGTAGGTTGGCCTAAAACCACCTATAAATTGAACCGAAATAGGTGCAGCCCAAGCTACGTATATGACTCAATATGCAGACAAACCATATGTGTGATCTGGGAGCCAAAAGCACCAACAACTGGCAAGGGAAACGCCCCAAGTCAACATGTGTCAATTACCGCTTGACTTTGTTTTGACAGCCAGAGAAATAGGTTAGTTTCCCGAGTCGAGAAGGAAAGTGCCAGGAAATAGGATATTCTCGTTGTCGGTTCTCGGGGCGAAATCAAGTATACGCCGTGTGTGCATCACAGGGAGATTCCCATTGATTCTGTCGCCAGTCGATGGCAAAAAACTTTAGTGCTGATTTATGGTTGCGGTGCGGTTAGAAAAATATGCAGGGGGAAACTTTTCGCCAGACAAAGGGCATCTGCGGGTGGAAATCACTTTGGCAGTCAGCGGAGCGCGAATTGCAAGTCAGCTTTGCATGTGCAAATTAATTGGTAACCGCAAAAGCATAATTACCGCCAGATATGTATGTATGTTTTCCCCACCAATCAAAAGGCTTCAAGAAATTAATCAGCACCGTCTGGCATGTGATTGCCTGTGGTTCAAAAGTAATTAATTTGAATTAACCGCACAGTCGACTGTTTGTTATTATTTTTATTAATTCTCCCAGAATCCATCGACAGCGAGTCAATTAATTACAACCAAGACCAAATTATGGTAGTTTAGTTAAGCGATTGCTGATCGTCGACTTTTAGGAACAGCGAAACCAGAAAGGCAACTGTATAAGGGGATAGGGATTACCTCAGAATTAGTTAACCGATTTAAGTTGATTACTACGCACTTGACATCAGCGAGCAAAGCCAGAGAAACGGAGCCAGGCAGCTAAGCTGCATAAAAACCGGCAGCAACATATTGCCACTTACAGACCCAAGTCTTCCGAAGGTCATGATCAGTAGCAAAACCATTGTCCTGGCGAATAGAGGCAGATGTTAATCTTGATTTATTATTAAGGATATCAAACCTCATCAGGGTGGGAAATATCACCACAGACATTCCAATGATCGTAGTGGCACAAATGCCCATCATGGTCAGGTAAACGGCGGAAACTATCATCGTCACCAGCGAAGTCTTCACAAAGTACAGGCTGCCCACCAGGAAAATGCAGATGAATAGGAACACCTCTGCCAGGAGCTCATATAAATAAATAATTTAAATGGCGATGCAAAGGGCTCTAAAGAGTGGCTTTGAATTGGAAACTAGCAATAAATCATGTTATCAGCATAGTGATGTGGTATTTTAAATTATTTGAGACCCGCTTTGCATCCCTAGCACAAGTACAGTACTCACTCAGTATGTGATTCGAGACCACTTGGAACCGCATGAAGGGAAAGATGACCAGAAAGCCGACCAGACTAATTCCAGCTACCGTGATGTTATCCAAATAGCTATCCGGGTCGTGATGCTGCACGATAGAAATGATTACTTTAGATCCGGAAACCCATATCAAGCGATCTCCTACCCACTAGAGCGCACTCCACCCTCTTCTCCTCCTCATCCATGGACATCGCATTTGCATTGTGGTCCAAAACGGCGCACATGCTCGTATCATTCGCACCCAAGGAGTCCATGGCGTTCATCGTGGCGAAGATCTGTGGCAGCCACAGGCGCACCGAGTTAACACTAGGATATGTAATGTGTGTATGAAACATAAATATATATTTCAGATATACTTACCACATAATCTGGCAGAAGTGCAGGCAATACACCTGCAGTGAAATGGCCAAATAGGGATTGGAAAACATAGGCTTCAGCTGCTTGAATCCATCGAGGAACTTGCTCTTGGCCCGACTAAATCTATCCTTGAGCGTTGATGGCCGCCCAGGGCCATCAAGGTCATCAGACCGGTCGGGCGTGGGATCGGTGAGTCGTTTTATCTGTTGTATTAATAATGAATTATTTAAAAAGCAGAAAAAAGCAAGGTTAGTACCGGGTAGCTCTCTCTACTCTTCCGCTTGTTCAGCTTGTAGATGCTCTGCAAGGAGACCAGAGCCTTTTTATAATTTCCCTGAGACATGAGGAACTTGGGGCTCTCGGGCAGGAAGATGTGCAGGAAACCACTGAGCAGACTGGGCAGCGAGCTGACCGCCAGGAAGACCTGCCAGGTGCGAACTGCTGGCGGAAGATAGAGTTCGTAATTAAGGTCAGGAGGCGAAGCAGTCTCACGCACACTTCAAGGAGGAGACCTTGAAAAGTATGGGCACCGGCAGCAGAACGTAGGCGAACAGGGGTAAAATCATCGATCCAATGGAAACACACAGACCCACGAACAGCATGATGTAAGGCCGATGCTTTTTGCCATGGAACTCGGCCAGGTAGCTGACCACGACCGCAAATGGACCGCAGATGCTGGATAGGAAGCTCATAGCATTAATAAGCACATGCAAAAACTAAAAATACCCTGTGGCCCGCTTACATAAATCCATCGAAGAACTTGAAGGCCATCAGCTGGGCAGTGTCCTGGCTGAGGGAAGCGCACAGGACGAAGAAGCCATCAAGCCAGCCGCCCGCAATGAGGACGGGTCTGCGCCCAATGGTGTCCGCTATGAAGCCCCAGGGCACCGCCGAGATGATCATGCCCGCATAGGTCACCGCATGCAGCATGCCCTTGTCCACGATGCTCAGGTCAAGGTCACACTCGGCGGAGGGCATCACATAGGACAGCGCCGAGGCCGAGAAGACCATCGCCGTGAGGCAGGGCGCCGCGCTGCACAGGATGAAGAGGTTGAAGAACCCAAAGCCGCACTCTGCGATCGCCGTCTCGAAATCTGCAGCCTCCTCAGCATTATCCCTTGCTCGCTCCGACATTTAAGAAAATTATATATGTAGTGCAAATTTTGAAAATTACTCGAAAGACTCCTGGATATTTCCAGAATGGGATATTTCCAGAATACTTTCACATACTGTGGCATGTGGGACTTTCCAGTCCCAATAAATCATGCTCAAATATCTAAATTGCAATACCTTATTCCTTTTTATAAGAAGGCAAAATGAAATAAAGTAAGCATACCACCAATTATCACTAGATCATTGCTGTCAGTACAATTTCTATTCCAGATGTAGATATGTTCTGTCTGCAATTAGGAGAGCTACTTGTGTATTTCCAGAAATAAAAAGCATGCCAGCAATAGTAATTAGCAATTCCTGGTATTTTAAGATTAAAGGCAGCTCCAAAGTGATTAACATTGAGTGCACATTTGGTGAAAGTTCATGTTGTCAGGATTCGCTAATGCGCTCAATGGGATAAAGAGCATCCACTTAAAGGATGCCACGAAAAGTCAATTCAGCCAGCACTAATTTCCACTTTGCCCGTCTGAGGCCTTTGCAAGTTTGGTTAATGTTATCTGTAGTTGATCACTCACCTGCCAATTCACCTGCCAACACAGCCACCCACTCCAATGCCAACCCAACTCGGCACCGCCGGATACACTTAATTAGTGCTAATGAGATTTGCATGTCGCAACTTCCGCCGACTATTGTCCTTGCCCACCAGCGGAGTCCTTTGAGGGATCCGCCGATACTTGCCCTTCTCTGGCTTAAGCAGGTAGTAATTTGATTGGAGCTCTCATAACATGGTGATTTGTAGGACAATAAAGATATATTTGGTTTGATTACTTAAGGTAAATATAAATAGTGGTTGAGCGTCTATCTAATCCAGTTGAGTCGTTATCTCTAATTTGTAAAACTACACAAAAGCTAGAGTCGCCAGATCTGATTCTAAGTAAATGGTTATATTATAGTTATATTTTTACTGTCTTATTATTGGTATTTCTTATTTTACTCTAAGTAAACGTTGCCTTGGCTGGATCAGGCAAAGATATTGACAGGATGCCGGATACTGCAATAAAATGAGATAAAAATGTAAATAAAATAATTACTGAAGAACAAACCACCTTCAGCTTACATATCAGCACTGAGGAGACCATTATAAATGGAGGCAGACAGCCGACTTTAACGAATACGGGGAAGAGTAAGTTTCCGGAGAGGGCTCCAAAGCGTCCGCACATCATGGCAATGGCAACCACAACGGTTCTGGAAATGTTAACCTTTCATTTAATACGATTTCGATGCCATTAATAGAAAACCCACCTTAATTGTGTGGGAAAGAGGGCCACAACAGCTCCCAAAAGTGAGGAGACAGCAATTCCCGTAATCGTAAGGAAGATTGCTGCCACAATGAGTGTCATTAGACTGCTTACGGAAAAGTAGAGCATGAGGCCAAATGTGCCCGACAGAAACAGTCCGTAGGCTGCAAGGTAGGCAGGGTTATATCACCAAGGATACACAGTTCCAGGAGCAACTTACTCATCATGCGTTTTGGACCCAGAGCCCGCACGATTCCACCGGCAAAGAAGTAGCCCACAAAGCCCGTGGCCGAAACAATGATGTTATTCAGGTACATGTCCATCGATATTACCTTGGGCTATAAAAGAAATTAAAGTCAAACAAATTGCCACTTCCAGTTTGCATGTAACTATCAAATCAAATGAAGGAAGTTGTACCACATTATGAACGATTGTGGTAATCTTGCATTTTGTGAGCAGAGATAACCACGTCACGATCACGATGACTAGGCGTTAGGTGAGCTGTCAGATAAGCCCAATCTACAGATCCACATCCACACCAGATCTACATCTGCTATCTCCAAGCATTATCTGATACCTACCTCGGAACAGGCGTCGTCGTAATTTAGGGCGGTCTCAGCCGTCCGATTGACACTGAATTCCAGGATGGTGCACATGCTCGCATCCAATCCGTCGCCGGCGTGCAGGGCTTCATATTCCGCCATGGAGGCGAAGAGCTGCGGCAGCCACAGCCGGATGGTGTTCATGCCCAGGAAGATGCCGAACTGCATCACGTAGCAGCAAATGGCCAATCCCACCAAGGGCTTCCTGGCCAACGGCTTCATCTGCTGCAGCCCGGATCGCAGGCTCTCCGCCAAAGTACGGGACTGCCGCTTGGTGGGCATCTCTCCGGATTTCTCCTCGATGGTGTAGATCACCTCGTTCTGGGCGGCCTTACGATCAGGAACTTCCTGAATAAGAGCTTTTATCTGTAAGAAAGCATTTCGAATTAAAAGCTGACACTGGAGCAATTTTAAAATATTTTCATACTGGATAGGTATCCTTGGGCTTGCGACTGTTCACATGGTAGATCTGCCTAAAGGCTTGCAGCGCCTCCTCGTTGCGTCCTTGGGCCATTAAAAATCGCGGACTCTCTGGCATGCTGCAGAAAATCAATCCACTGATCAAACTTGGAAAGCCCAGAACGAACAGGTAAATCTGCCAGCTGTGAACTGGAAAAAAAAATTAACGATTAAATCACCGTTCTTTAACATGTTGTCAAGTAACTTACTTTGCAAGCCCCAGAACTCAAAGTCCCAATCTCTGGGAAAGATTCCCCAGGCCAGAAGAGGTAGTGAAACCGTCGCCGTGGAGGTCACCATGCCCACGATCATCAGAACGGAAGATCGGTGCTTGGATCCGTGCATTTCAGTCAGATAAGTAAAAAGCACAGCTGCCGGGCCATTAACCCTTTAATTGAATAGAAATTAAAGTCTTAATTTATAGAAAACAGTACTCAGTACTTACACCAAGCCACCCAGGAACTTGAACATCACCAGCATGCTAAAGTTCTGACTCAAGGCACTGCCAAAAACGCACACAGCATCGATCAGATAGCCCCAGTAGAGTATCTTTTTGCGACCCTTCGTATCTGCCAGATAGCCCCAGGCTATGGCCGAGATGGTCATGCCCGCGTATGCCACGGCATTCAGCACACCTTTGTCCTCCAGAGTCAGGTGAAGATCGCACTCGGCAACTGGCAGGATGTAGGACATGGAGCTGGACTCGAAGATGGCGGCACTCTGGGCGGGAATGGAGACGACCAGCAGCATCAGATTGAAGATTCCGAAGCCAGCACTCTCGATCGCCTTGTCAAAGGTGGCAGGACCTTCTTCGGTGGGCGTGGCTGCCGCCTCCGCCGTACTATCTGAATTGCCATCCGCATCCTTGTCATTTTCCAGCCCTGAATTGATAAGAAGGTTTTTTTAGGGCGCACATTAACTTATTGCATGGGGCTGTAATTTCATCCCACAAACACTATCTGAACTTTTCCACACTTGTTTTTGCCGTTTAAGTACTCAGATTAGGAATCACATAATTTTACAACTACTTTTCATTGTCATAAATACATTTTAATATTTTGATTATAGCTGCTACTTTTTACATCACACAACTTGAGACAATTCACTTTTTAAGAAAGCTCTGTCTTTTGTTAAATTAGGTATTTTACACTTTATCCTCTAACCATGACTTTTCTGTTCCAAAATCTTTTGTAACCGCTTTACCTTTGCTTTTCTCCGGATTCACTGTTTTAATATTATTTTCCGACATCTCAGCGATTACTGTTTGCCACTATAGGTTTTCACAATTGACTTGCTCTTGATATTTATTGTTCAATTAATACGCTGCAGTTCTTAATTAAAAAGCGCAAACACAAGTTCTTCAAAAAATTAAGTTCACAGTCACAGTTAAGGGTTTTCAGAATATTTTATTAAGCCGACTTGCACAGTTGCATGCTGCGCGAGAAATGATCTTCTAGAGCGCATGGCACCTGCTTTTATCGGAGTTTATCTCAATAAATGTGAAGATTCACTCAGCTACAGCTCTCTTATCGCGGGCTTTACAATCTAAGAAAGCTAATAAACATATTAAACCATGTTTGTTTAGAAAATCCACATTGGGCTTCGTAAAGGGCACAGTGAGTTCCCACAACTCTAGGGAAAACCCTTATAATACAATTTGAATAAAGTGGGCTTTTTAATCATTTTTATTAAACAAAATTAGTAGATTTAATGTGTGCTCATTTTTCCTTTACAATGAAATACGTACATATGTATATACATTTATATTGTTCTCCTCATCCAGAAGAAAATGTTCTATCAGCTATATGACTTATGACATTTGGCGAAATTATTATTCCACGCGAGACTACATAATTTCAATGGTGAAATTTGTGGGAGGCTTAAACGGGTGCCTTTATCTCGGATCTTATCTGTGTAAAGGTTATCTCAAAGATGACTTAGCACATTAATGCCGAGTGAATGAATTACTCATTAGACGTGAAAGATTCTCATCACACAATTGGGGTTTTATTTCTTAGACTAAAAGCAGTTATAAATATGAGGAGCTCTTCTTTCCAAGCCATTCACAATGATTGACACTATTTCTAGCGTCGATGTCCAGTCTTCTGCCAACTCAGCTCATTCGATGGCATCCACCAGTTTGCACAACATGCGGTCATGCTGGTAACTAGGATCATTCTTTGCCGCCGCATTCGCCTCCAAGGGATCCACCTCCGCCTTAATCTTTGCTCCGCCGCTCTCGTCGTCATCATCTAGAACCGGCAGAGCTGAAAAGGCGGTATTCACGATCTCGCGCACACGTTCCAGGTGCTTTTGAAATCGAGTTGCGGTCTCCACGCGCTGCCGCTTCTGCATTTCCATCATGACGCGCAGCGTTTCCCTCGCCTGATGTGGGCGAAACTCGTTGAGGAGGTGATGCATGTTCACAAACAGCAGGCTGATATCGTCAATCTACGATTTCAATTGGGTGTAATACAATAGATGCTACATTTGGATGGGTCAAGTGACTAGGGTGTTCTCACCTTTTCTGTGCGCCGCGGGCTGTCGGGATTCAGGATGAGGAAGTCGATGAGATCTAGGAAGTTGACCAACAGAGAGTGGTTGAGCTTCTTGAGCTCCTTGCGCCGGTCGAAATGGATGGGAATCAGTCGCTTGATGTTCTGGGACTCCAAGCTGCGGATCATCTCGTCGTTGTTGTACTGGATGCCAAACATGCTATAGACTTCGTGCTGCGCGGGCGGCGGAGGTGGGCGTGGCGCTCGGTTGCGACGGATGTTCTCGTCCGTGTAGTTGGCGATGTACCGCTCCGGCGGCATCGGCAGGCTGGAAACCTGGGTCTCCTGGTTGGACATTTCAAGACAAACAGTGCGGAAATACAAAAATAATAGTGATTTTTGTTTTGAAGAAGTGATGACACTTGAGACAGGCAAATCAATCACGATAGTGATGACACTATCAGCAAATTTTGTTTTCGTAAAAATACCAAAATAGATATTTGAATCCGGTCTTCAAGCAAACGAAATTTTCACAGCAAAACAGAAATATATTGAATTTTGTGCACTTTCTATTTAAATTATTGTTAATTTGTGCATATTAGGTTTATGGATAATAGCGAACAATTTAAAATAAAAGAATTTCTGTTCATGGTTACTATTAGGTATTCATCGATTTCAAAATACTAAACGACCCAACTATCGCGCCCGGCTATCGCGCCCGGCTACCGATAACTTAAAGGTGACCATGCCTACATGTGCTCCCTAACAGCATTGCCGTAGCAATTTTTGTACGTCTCTTCTCTCATTCGCTACTCGTCCGGAGAGCAAAACAAAATAAGAAATACATATATCTTGGGGTGAATAGGAAATTGTCCCTGCACCGATTCGCGCCAATACTCCTGCCAAGGAAATGAAAAACAAAACAAAGGACAAATATAACATAACTGGACCTAACTAATACAATCCATCAAATACGCAGCGTCGAGCCTCCACCATTTTGTTTTCCCCACTCCTCGTGCGTGCGTGTTTGCAGTGTTTGTGCGAAGAGCTCCCCATGATGCCAGTAAAACGTGCAAAAACGAACCTAAAACGGGCTTCTTGTAGTGTCATCTAGTTAGCCATGGAGCGTATATCGCCAGAAGAAGCGGGTAAGCACCTAGAGCTTAGGTAACCAGCGGAGCAGAGCCCCAGGCGGCGATCTTCGTTTCCCATTGATTAAGTCAGCGCTATTTCCAGTATATCGCGTGTATAGGTGCTCCTATGTGAGTGTATGTGTGGGAGCAGGGCAGAAATAAACAAAAAAGCGGATCTGCAATTGGGTGTGTGATTTTTGTTTCACTAAATCGATTTGGTTTATCTTTAATTCACAGCCTCCTTGAGCGAAGCGCGGAAGCAGATAGTGGAAATAGCCAGAAGTCGGCCGGGAACCCAAGTGGCAAAGTGCATCCTCGCCTACGATGAGCAACAGGACCTCGCCTCGCTAGTCGTCCTCCTCGAAGAGCTCTCCAAGAACACGGACTACTCCACGGACCTGCGGATATCACTAGGATATGTGAGTGTTGAATCACAGTATTATCAAGATAAGCCAAACCGCCGAGGAACAGCAAGATCAAGACAAAAGTGTGACGCAATGTGCGTGAGTGGTACAGTCAAGCCTCGAAAACTGGTATTTGAACTTAAAACTTGAGCTAACACAGCCAACATAACGTATGCGAAAACTATAGAAATGGATTTTCAAGTTTTTTTAAACCAAAATTCTTTTAAAAATGTATTCAACTATGATTTTTATTCATTATATCCTAAAATTCCAACTATAAATCACTTTGAAAATGCCGCAGAACTAGTTTCTGTATATTTTCAAACATGTTTAAAATAGTTATGCCTCGTAAGTCACAACTTACTTAAAACAGTTGGCCAAGAGCTATGATCTTCACAAAAGAAATTGTTATTTAACTTATAGTAAACACCATCAGATCCTATAATAGATTTATCTTTACAGTATATTGAGGAGCTACTGCGGCACTGCTTAGGACACAATTATGTCTCCCGTAGATCAGCCATCGTGGCCGCGGGAAGTGCCCTCCAGTACTGCGGCAAGATCTATGGAGACCGTGTGGAGTACATGTACCAGGTGGTGGAGCACCAGATCGAAGCCCTGCTCACATCGGAGTCGCAGAAGGAGACGCCCGGCGGAAGTAGTGCGTAAGTTGAACTTAGAACAGAAGAGTTAGAAAGATGGAGAACGACAAAGCCACGTGCTCCCCAATTGTCGCTATTGAGTCTGACAGGGCGTCGGCTCTTATCAGTCCAGAATGCCGTTTATCGAGCTTTACTTTACGCTCCCATCTTCGGCTTTGTTTGCGTTAATATCACAGAAGCCGGCTTGGCGTTTAATCACATGTTAATGAATGATATGCATATGTAGCACGTTTTTGTGCTTGCAAAAAACAAATAACAAATAGAGTACAAAAAGAAATGAGTAATAAACCAAACAACTGAAGAAAAAAACGTAGACTGTTTAGATCATTCATAAAAATACACTTTAAAACATGGAAGATATTCAGTGATAGATCACATTCTAAATTAAAAATGTTTACATTTTAAACCTTTAAGTCATTCAAGACCACTTAAATTCTCTCTTATCAGCAGATATTAAATAATTTAGGAAGATTATGTGACCTAAATGTTAAACGTCTAATCGTTCTTAAAAGATAACACCAGTATTTTGATTAAACACAAGTTGATTTAATTATATTATGTGATCCCTAAAAATCAGTACTTAACTCACATTTGTGCCATTAAAGAAAGTGCTTATCCCCTTTAAATCTGCGTTTAGTGATATACTAATTTTTTTTGTGTCACGTTTACAGACCGAAGAACAATGACCCCAGGCCGGAGGAACCGCGGAAACGTCGCGCAAAGAAGCTGACGCAGAAGGAAATAGATCCTTATTTGCTCACAGTGGAACCGAAAAAGTTCAAGACCATGTCGGATGACAAACGCTTCAACATGTCGGGCTTTGTAAAGTGCACGAGAAATCGGACAATAGAATACCTTTATCAGGATCACACGCCGCCCAACCTGTGGAGACAAGCGCCAATTGTGGATCCCCACAATCCCTACGACCAGGATGAGAAAAAGCAGTACAAAATGTTTACGTATCACGTAGAGCATAGGTACAATACGCTTCTGCCAGATATTCCCTTCGAAAGGCTGAATCTCATTAAGGAGTATGTGCACACAAACCAGCTGAACACCACGGAGATTCTTAATGAGCACATGACCACGAAGGATTATCTGGACGAGTATATTGCGCTGGAGAATCAAATGCTAGCAGCCCGCTATGGAGCCACTGTCAGAACGAGAAGATTGGTTGAGCCGGCGAAGAGATTGATGGAGGACAACTTGGTAGCGGAGCTTGCGAAAAAGGTGTGCATGGACGAGAATCTGGCAATTGATACGGACGAAACTGCTCCCCTTGAAGCAATGGACGTGGACCAATCTGTGATGACTGACAACACCCAGTCGTTAGCCACAGCCGATGCCCTGCAAAATCAAATATCAGTGGATTCGGGACTAGGCGAAACGATGAACATGAGTCAGGATAACAGCAACATCAACACCACGATGGACAGCAGCCAGGTGGAGAACTCTACTTTAAGTGTTAGCCAAGTGGAGTCGTCTTTGAGCGTCAGCCAGGCAGAAAACTCCTTAAGCGTTAGCCAAGTAGAGAATCCGCCGCTGAGCAGCACATTGGCCATTAATGAGTCTAGTGTCCTGGACAGCACGAGAGTGGATCTGCCCTCCATAAAAGATCTCACTCTAGACGAAATGTTGTTAATCGATTCAGGGATTGGTATGGAAGACGTTTCCGATATCCAAATGCATACAGGTAAACCAATGGCAATCCAACGCCCGCCAAGCGTATTAAGGATAAGCGTTTTTTTAATCTTTTGTTCTTGATTTCAAGTACTTACATATTTGTTTCTTTTTACTCTTTTATTTTGGCACTTGATCCCACACTTGCATCCCTGCATTGCATTTGTCACGGCAGGCCAGTCTTTTGACGATGAGGGTGTTGTTCTTTCAGATTTAGAAGATCAACGCCAAATGTCGCCCACAATGAAGTTGATTAGCAATACGGAAGAGGCAAAAACAGTTCAGATCATTGAAATGGATGCCGATGTGGCAGTGAATGTTCCAAGGGAGGTGTGCTATCCCATTCTGCTGAATGTTATGGGTCTCCCCATTAAAGGCCTGCGTCGCAAATGTATCTTCAAACTTCCAACTGAGTTCGACTTATTCAAGCAAGCAGTAAGTGTTCGAAATCATTACATTACTTTTGGATCTTGACCTGCATCTGTGCTTTATGTGTTTTAGCGTCTTCCTGCAAAGCGAGAGGCGCAACCAAAAGCCACACCCACTCCCAGAGCTATATTACAGATTCAACGAGAAGCTCCCCAAAAAGAAAGAGAACTCGGATCCCCCTGCAGCTTAGAGTTTGATGAGGATTTTAGTAAGTTACTGTGGCATACTTTCTCACCTCGCATAACCGTAACATATTTTGCCAGATTTCCTGGGCTTCCGCCAACGTCGACCCACATTTGACTCGGGCTTTGATATTGACGAGTTGCGTGCCGGTTCAGGTTGTGTGTCCACCATCGGAGAAGTTAAAATTGAGATTGAAGACGGAACTGAAGCACACACCGACAAGTTGAATAATGTGAGCGCAAGCGACGCGTTGGTGGAGGAATTAAACACTTCTGCCGAACCCAAAACTGAGAACAATACTGCAAATTCCTCGCAACTTGAAGTAACTGAAACGTCCGGAACTCTAAGCGGATTCGAAACTACAGTGGATTTAGGAATGGAGCCGAATGCAGTAGACAGTTGTATTTTAAACGTCACTGAACTTGACAATTCAGACCTGGAGATTGCAACCCTTCAGGAAAATGCTACCTTAAATGACGAAGCAGTTGCAAAGGATTTGCCTGCTGAAACACCTAATCCAGATGCCGACTCAGCAGTCAACGACTGCGATGAGTCAACACGTTGCGACTCGCCTTTCGAAATTGACGATTTGGATAACCCCGACTCCAGCTCAATGGTAAATATTGCGTATAAAGCAAGCGGTAAATGAAAATCCTAACGTAATACGTTTAGATCCGAGACTGGCATAGACGGTTGGCTCCTTCTTTGGAGGCAGCCCATGAACGGCAAAATTTCAACATTAGGGACTTGGGCACTGAGGTGTTGGACATATGCAAGGCGGGCAACGGAACAGCCACGTTAGCCGACGTTATGGCTGACAAGGATCCTAGCATAATGTGTCGCTATATGCTGGCTTCCCTGGTGCTGGTAGGTTAATGCGTTCAATCAAAATGATGTTTTCCGAAAAACCATGATACTAACACGCCCCCTTTGCAGACAAACCACGGAAACGTGTCCTTGGATTTTGGAAATCGCGATAAAAGTAAGCCCATCGACATGTCTCAGTTTCGAATGCATTTAAAGAGTACGAAGCGAATGGAAATCCATCCCGAGGACGACGTAGGCAACATAAATGCTGCCAAGGGCCAATCGGCGCCGAGGAGTAAAGAGCCAAATGTTTCACCTAACAATATGAAGACATGGAAAAGCAACCCGGCGTCTGCAGCTACAAAACGAAAATCTGCGGAAGTGGCTTTATCCGAGGTGTTTGCTAAAACTGTGCGATTGATACAGCCCATCCCAAAGATGTGGCAGACTCCTTCTGATGCCGACTCGGGGATATCTTCGATGGGCTCTTCATTGGCATCAACACCCCGCCTTAATGAGTAGTTGTGTTTTGTCTTAAATGTGCTTCGTAGTTTGTAGATCCCTTGCGTCCCAGTGGTAGATTGTAGTTTGTGTGACTCCTTGGAATTCAATCTTTATCTATATTATTTTCAGGCCCAGAGATCAATGCATTATTCCCAGCAGTATAACAAGATCATGAGGCTGCAGTAGACTTAAGCCCTTGCCAGATTATTTACCCACAATTCTGTACAAATGTAAGTTTTAGTTGCCCATTGTTAACAGGCTTGCAATAGAATGAATGATTTAGCTTAAGCTTATTGATGTATCAACCAACATCTAGAGTAGTAAACCAGTATTATCTAAGCTCGATTTCCTTAAGCATGAAGCCGCTTTTTAGTTTTACTTTTACATTTTTTCGGTTTGTTACTCTTTTTATTTTCTTTTATTTGATTTTGAAATTTTCACAATTTTATTTACTTCTATTTCTTTTGAACATTTTTGATTTATTTTACTCTACCTACGAATACATTTGTTTAGTATCCTTATATTTTTCTATGGTTTCCTAAAAATTTAACTCTATACCTCCTTTAATTTAGAACAAAAAATAGACAATTGGCTTTTTGATTGACGACGCATGTGATTTTGGAAATCCTCATGAGCTGATAGTACTAATTTCAAGTACCTGATCTCGTTCTGTACAAAAGTATATAAATAAGAAAATTTCTGACAGGATAAAGTTCAAGCTAAATAAGAATAAAGTGTATATATGTATGTATTTACCAGAGTGCAAGCTAGTGTCTATTTACAAGCAGTTTAAGATATAATGTTTTTTCGTAATTATAAGGTGTAGTTCTTAAGGTATAAAACGGAACCATGCAATCACTTAAATTTGTTTTAATGAAAGTAAGTAGACGAATCTCCTAATGCTATTCAGAATCGCTGCTGCCTGACTTGTGCTCCTCCTCTTTCTTCTCTTCAGTCTTGTAGTGGCGATACTCCTTCTTCAACTCCCACATGTTTTTGTGTGGGTTCTTCATGTTGTAGTCGCACACATCCTTGAGAATCTCCTTCAGATAGCTAATCGGCTGGTTGGTGATCTTGACCAGATCCTTGATGTTATAATATTGATGCTTCTCGAATGCGTGGAAGAGCATGTCCATCACGGCATTCTTGTCATCGCGCGCCTTCTTGCCTTCGGCCTTCTTGCGCTCCCGATATTCAATCTGCAGGAATAGAGGAATATATATATATATATAAGACTGAAATCGAGTTTATAGTTGTTCTCACGTTGTGTGCATGGTCTTTCACGGGCTTAAAGTTCTGGACGATCTTGTCGATCGGCTGCACTCGCCGCTGTGGCTCCGATGCCTTGCGTATGGACTCCAGTTTCAGCTTCATGTAGCAATTGTCGGCTATGGGTCGGCACTCTAGCTTCTGCACAATTCTGCCCTCCATATACAACTTTTCGTTATCCGGCTGTGCCGCCGAAGAAGTCGAGTTCTCCTTGCCATCGGACGGAGCCATGTGCGAGAATACGCCCAGCGTCTGCTTGGTCACCTGCGACACGTCCAGGACATGCTCCGTGGGTATTTTCTCCTCGGGATCCAGAGCCAAAACGGCGGGCGTGAGGGAAAGCGAGACCTGGGCCTTCTGGCCAGGTGTCTTGTTTATCCGGAGCTTGCCCACGTCCATGTTCGTCGGCGCCTTCTCCCATTTCTGGGCGATGTACTTGGGCACTTTCACCAGCCACACGCCTCGCCCTGCGTTGGACAGGTCCAGGTCCTTGTCGATGATCTGCGTCTTTTCCTTATCGTCCTTCGACATTCTGTTTGCCTATAAAATATTTAACACAAATTTGCAAAGCCACTTGTACCGTTTTCGGCTTTGCTTGTTGTTGTTGTGCCGCAGAATAGTGGGGTCAAAGCAACAGTTTCGACACAATGCTAGTTTAGTATACCGCGGTATTTTTCTTTTGGTATTTATTCTTTATACTATTGGTAGGCGCGAAGTTTGAAAATGTCCAATGAAAATAACGAAAAAAACTATTTTTATGTCCGAATTAAATGGGGATCTTATAATTGGATATAGTTAAGAGGATCTTTAAAACAAAAGAAATGATTATTTCAATGAAATGCTTTGGAAATAATATGGTATCTTAATTTTGATTTATTCAGCAAATTTATAATGGCTCTAAATTTAGAACACATTTTGTTGATTTACGATGAATTTATGAATTTATGTGACACCTAATATTTGATTATTCACCCCATTGCCCCGTAAAAATGGTTTTATATTATTTTTATTATATTTTTTCTTTTTAAATTAGGTTGACAGCATGATGATTGTGTAGAATCTATTACTCCTCCTCTTCCTCGTCCTCCTCCTCGACTTCCTCATCGAGTTCCTCCTCGTAGCTGTTGCCACCAGTGGGGGTAACATTAGAGCCGAGCTCGATGATCGGTTCCTGTTCCTCAATGGGCGTGACGGGCTCCTCGACCACAGGCTCACTGGCCTCGTTCTCGTTCTTTTGGATGGCCTGCAGTTCCTGGGCGGCAAGCTCGGATTCCTGGCGGGCAATCTCGGCCAGCTCGGCGGCCTGGCGAGCAAGTTCTCCCTCACTCTCCTTCTCGATCTCCGCCAGGCGCTCCAGCTCCTGCTCACGCACCCGCTGCTCCTCCTCCAGACGAGCCTCTTCAGCGACACGAGCCTCTTCGGCGGCCTTTTGGGCAGCTTCTTCGGCGGCACGAGCCTCCTCTACAGCCCTCAGTGCGGCTTCTTCAGCTGCCTTTTGGGCGGCTTCTTCAGCCAGTCGAGCCTCTTCGGCTGCCTTTAGAGCGGCTTCTTCAGCAGCCTTTTGGGCAGCTTCCTCGGCGGCCTTTTGGGCGGCAGCCTCCTCTGCTAGGCGAGCTTCTTCGGCAGCTTTTTGGGCAGCTTCCTCGGCGGCCTTTTGGGCGGCAGCCTCCTCGGCTAGACGCGCTTCATCGGCAGCTTTCTGGGCAGCTTCTTCAGCGGCTTTTAGGGCAGCTTCTTCGGCAGCTTTTTGGGCGGCAGCTTCGGCCAGGAGAGCCTCTTCGGCAGCGATCTTGGCGGCTTCCTCGGCCGCCTTTTTGGCCTTGGCAGCAGCCTGCTTCTCGGCCTCAGCTGTCAGACGTTCCCTCTCCTCCTTCAGAGCCCTTTAGAAATATTAAAGGTACAATAAGAAAGGTCCTTTAAAGCTTGTATAGGAAGCACCCACCTCTCTTCCCTGCGCTTGGCTTCATCGGCTTTCTGGGCACGCTTCTTCTCCAAGTCCACCTCGTCGAGAGCCTCTTCGTTGACGGTTAGAAGACGCTCCTGGCGCAGACGCTGCTTCTCCTTGGCCTCCACATCGAGGGGATCCTCCAGGGGCCTAGGGGCAGAAAATTTTCTAGATGGACGGTTAGGATCCAACTCGGCATCTGAAATGTAATGCTTGTCAGAAGAACCCTTACCAAAGTGCGTAAGCATTTGTATTTTATTTTTCTTTTACAATAAATATCCTTCACTTTGTTGTTCACTCGGCTATGTCGAATACATTATACTTATACTTACAATACTTACTACTGGGTTCGGCGATTGTTGGTTTGCTTATAGACGAGGCAAGGAAAATTGCAGATACAGTAGACGCCAATGTTTTAGAGTATTGTGTGGCATTAATGGGAGTTTTTAAAAAGTTCTGGGTATGAAGAATTGAACCAAAATGTGGTTAATGGGTTAAGCATACATACATATATACATCTCAAAATGCAAAAAAGAGTATATGAAGTAAGCTAAGATCTCGAAGTGTTGTACTGTGTATATTTGCGTCATTCATTATTAAAGTTCTGCAACAATCCATTAGTCATCGCTATGTACAAAAATGTGGGCAGATCTAATTAAATCAGGCCCGATATACAAAATATCATATACCAAAATAGGACGGTAGCCACTTTCTAATCCATATTAACCCCCACTGAATTCGACCCCACAAGGAAAGAGTTGCGTTTAGATCAGTATTTACAAATTAATATATTGATACATATTTGTAAGTAACTATCCCTAAAATGTGTTTACATATGCATGAACATAACATTGGTTAACAAAATTCGCGCTGACGTACATATCTTAAATGCCAAAAATTATGCACATGAAGTATTTAATAGTTCGTAATCAGTGATCATGAAAATATATAATTTAAAAGTCAGCTTTTTACTTAAACTACAACAAATTGAAAGAGAATGAATAAGTATCTACATTTTGGTGAGTCACATGAAAAATGTTAGTATCACAAGTGATGCGCTGAATTTGTTTAATTCTTCATTATTTCGATCTTGAAAGCTGTTTTGATCTGACTTGTGTAAATATTAGTCTGAGTAGTGAAAGCGCCAGAGTGTGTCGATATCAATTGTTCATCTTGTAGATATCGGCTAATTGTCTACCACGCAAAAGAAAGTCTTTTAGATTGGTTTATTTAAGAAAGAGAAGTGTATGTCCATACAAAAATCAGGCATGTTATCATTTAGGCCTCAACTTCAACAGCTTCAACTGGAAAGAATCAATCAATCATAAAACGTATAACGTTAGTGAAATACAATGAACTGAACAATTCAGGATGCAGCAACCAAATATGTAAGTTAGTTACAAATGAATTATTTAATTTATATTCTAAAGCACCTCTTATCTCGAAATAACAAACGTTGTACGTTAATAATAACTATAGTAATTGGAGGAATATACTGAAAAAAAATTATTGGACAAGGCGAGTACGAAGAATTGCGAACTGATGCGGATCCAAGCCAATCTACAATTTGGATTTGAAGCGGCTGGTGCTCATAAACAAGATAAAATTGTATTTTAGGTAATGCTGATTAATTATTTTATATATTGATTGATTTGGGATTGTGAAGAGAGAAGTGCTTTTCGCAGATTTATTCTTTTTGAATCAGGATGGTAACAAAAATTGAACAAATTGTAATTTAATAAATAAAATTAAAGTGCACATCCTTGTCCTTAAATATGCATCTCTAAATGAATGGTAATCGTTTGGCGCAAACATCTATTACATTTATGCTTGAGTGATACATATATACAGGTGTCATATTCAAGCGCAATGTAACAACACGAACAGTACTTACCTTCCTTCAAAGGACCTTGGGATTTCTTATCATTCTTCCAAGTCGGGTGTCTAAGGTACCAGGACAAGAGGTTAATATCAGTTCGAACTTTGTCCGTATCGTACAACGGACTTCTAACATTATAGGCCTTGTCACCGCAAATCCTTACTGATGCAAGATGACTTTTACCTTTTGTTATTTAATTGTTTAAAGAATGGAATTTAATAACCATTTGCTATACATTTAAGTTATCTAACCACAGTGGTGAACAGAATACATAGTGCAGTTGTCTTACATTGGC